AGTGGATATTGCATACTTTGTTTGGGACAGCCGTTCAGTACTTTTAACTTCATTTAATTCCTTTTGTTTATACTAGTTATTAATAGTAAGAGATGTTTTAACCTTATTGTGTGGTTACCTGCAGCTATCACACCTGTTGATAAACTAAATGAGGAAACAACGAACCAACGAATGGAGGCTAACTGTTGGCCCACATCTGAGGTTAGCTCAATACTATGGAGCTTGATTCTGTGTTGTCCGTAGGGCGTCAAGTAAACTTTGAAGTATTTTTTCAGTCACATATTTTATTAATTTTTGTTCCAGCAACATCAGACAATCTATTAAAGATATCTTGTACTTTCTCTACCTGTAAATGCATAAATTGTACCACAAGTGCAGTCAAGCTTTGGTGAAGGGCTAAGCTCGTTAGGGTAGATACTTAGGTTTTGAAGATTTAAGACAAACAATTAAAAGGTCGTACCCAGTGCACAAGGCTCCCGCTTTACGCAGGGTCTGGGAGAGGTGAATGTCGGCTAGCCTTACCCCCATTTATGGAGAGGCTGCTCCTAAGTCTCGAACCCGAGACCTACCGCTCATGGGCGAAGGCACTTGCCATCGCACCAAGTGCGACCTCTATTTAAGACAAACAATTAAAAGAAAAAAATGGGCTTAGATTAGCATTAATATTATGGGTGTTTGATTATTATACTCTCACTCAGACATGGCATCGGATGACACAATCCCTTGAAATCTAGACTGAAATACGACTACATGTGTGGATCCATGTATACAAATTAGTTACGAACTTACGATTTAGCTTGCTCACAGCATGGTCCCTCCAATTTATAGGTAAATGTGGGGGAGGGTGTACATTTTTTCTCCTCATCAGTGTTTGAATGACCCTGAGAGATGGATGCCCCCAAGTGTGAGTATAGTTTGAATTCAAACACTAACAGGGGAGGGGAGAGTGTTGAAAATGATCGTTGACTTGAAAGAACATTTGAAAGTAAATTAATGACCACTGTTTGTTTTGACTTTGAACAAAACCCATTCCATTTTTTGCTACATAAAGAAACTTGTACATTTCTCTATATAGTGGTCATGTTTTTGCAATTATGATCTACAACATTGTTTTAGTTCCTTAATTCCCTCTTGTAAATAATGAGAATATTGTGTCTCACTTGCAATTTTTCATATATTGTTGACTGTACTGTTGCATATATCTTGACATTCTCTGATACCAGTTGCTATTATTGATCAGCTTGGTACTGGTGGGGCTGGTTATGTTTGGTCAATTTGTGAAGGAGGCCACGATGAGGAGTGGAGGCATTCAGTTGCTCCCATTCCTGCTGACAAACTTTTGGAGGCAATACATGCTGCAGATGATGATTTGGAGCATGTTCAAGATGGCAGCTCCCTCCCACCTTCAGGAGAGTTAAAACCTGATTCTAATGATTCTGAAGGCGACGATGTAGTGTCTATAGAGGATTCTGCCGACTTTGAGAGAGAGGTGAACAATGTCAATTAGAATGCTGATGGTAAATACACGTATACAAAGTCGATCCTCAAAAGTTACAATGTTATCTGCAGGTTGAAGCAACCTTTTTAAGAGCTGTGCATGAAAACATACAAGTAGACCACGTCATATTAGAAGTGAATTCACTGAGGTATTTCTTCGGTTTTCCCTTACAACTCTATCAATTACTCTTTTCCTTGTTATTCCATCTTTTATTTTTACTTTTCTGAAGGTACACAAAATGGTATTCTCTGTTAATATTTCAAGTTGTAGGCACAAACATGTATCTGATGAAATGGTGCTAATGTATATTGAATTTTTTAATTAAACCATTCATGATTACTTTTTTTTGATAAAATGTATATTTCAAGTTGTTGGCAAAATGTTATTCTTTGTTTAATTTCTTCAATTCTTGCACAATCTTATATCCATATTTTGTATACTTTTTATCAAGATAATTCTTTAGTATGTAGACTTTTATGATTGGTGCTTGCCACTTTTTTGTCTGCTGCAGGTTGTCATACAACAAGGTAGCTGCAGACTGTGCTGGAGCTTTATTTTATTCAATGATGAAATTGGCATTAGAAACTCCATATGGTTCACCAGGTAAATTTTCCTCAGCTTGCTATTCTCATCCCAATGTTTATATAATTTTCATGTAAAGAAATTTTTTTATGATTGGGAACTTGTGTTAATAACCTTTGAGAAATATGCTTCTATTCCCTTGTTTAACAATCAGCATTCTCTTGGAATAGTACACAGGAATAATTCATTGAGGTGCCAAAGAAAAGGTGGGTGGTTTGGGTTTTGGAAAGTTTTTCTCTATTATACAAGTTAAGATCACATTTGGGGGAAGATGTGCATGCACGAATTAGTCAAAGGTTTCCTAAGTCTGTTTTACAGCATCCATATCTTACTTTTACTATTACACTGTAATTTTTGCTCAGCTGCAGTGTGGGAGCTACTTTCGTATTGCTAACATTGTTTGTCTTGCTTCTTGACATATGGTCTCAACAAATCTTGTTCAATTCCTTTCTTAGGTGAATTGGTTCAAGCTACTGTTAACATATTTACAAAATGGGAAAAAGTGCTGAAGTCTTACCTAGCAGAAATAGACGAGGAGGTTTGTACTTGAAAATCCTTTTCTTTCATGCTTGTATGCACTTCTTCAACCATTAAACTCTACAATGGAGTTACATGTGAAATGTCCCCTCCCTTCTAAAGCTTCTGCGGATGTGATGATTTCATTTTTATATCTGCATTATTCAGTTACTTTCACATGACGATATAGTGTGTGTGTTCCCTTTGCAGTCATATTAACCTTTGTTTCCATTTGACTTGAACCCTGAGTATGTCGAATATCATATTCTATTTAATGCATCTTAAGTCCAATCAGTAAATATTATTTCCATGTTTCGCATTAACATGCTGGACACCGTGATCCCTTAGTTTCAATGGTTGCTAATGCGATGCTGATTATTCCTGTAGAAACTGTGATCTAAGTTTTATCTTCACAGAATTGCGATGCTTATTTTGGTTAGTGTTATGTACCGAGTATTTTTCAATTTCCAGATTGAAGTGATACTTAGATTTGAAGAAATGTGTGAGTCCCTTAAGGAATTCTCTCCTGTGTTTGACAAGGTACGTCTTCCTGCATAGTTTATGATCATATGTATGACTAGATACAACAATTCTACTTTCATATTAAGTATGTCAAAGATCATAGAACTGGTGGATGTTTCTGCCGAGTGCTTTTGCCAGGCTGGCTTTCTTAAACAATGAAAACCTACGGATAAAGCCATCGCTGAAACAATTTTGAATAAACACGTTACAAAAGTTTAATGAGTCTTTTGTTGTAACTTAGGCCTTTTTAGTATCCTTACTTTCGTTTGCAATTTTGATGAGTTTAATTTATTTTCTCACCGTTATAAGTTTCTTTTACAGATTTTGCATCAACTGTACGAACTAGAAATTATACAAGAAGAAGCCATTATGAGGTGGGACGCCGAAAAGAAAAATGCTGAGGAAGCAGATAGAGTTTATGTCAAGCAATCAGCAGACTTTATTCAAGTAAGTACTATTATTTGATTTCAGTTCTATTACCTTACGCGATAATTAATGATCATTATATAATATAACGCACGCATGCTGCCATTGCACGAGTGCAATTATCTGTTCTTTCCATTTTGCAAATTCACCTGAAATACGTCGAAATTTAACATAGAAGTCTGTTATGACCATATGCATTCGACATATGAGAACAGTTTACAATTTGGGTTAATTTATTGACCGGAAAAGACAAAGTTGATTTCTGGCAACCAAAAATTGATGGCATGTACTACATAGTACATCTTTTCTAGTTAAATTTCGTATGATGTTCGCGTTGCTTCACAGCAGTTACGTCTTGTGTGTCTTATGTCTCAGTGGTTGAGAGAAGCCGAAGAAGAAGATGAAGATGAAGAAGATGAAGAAGATGAAGAATAGGAAGCAGTTGATACGTAGATCCAACTTCGCAGCGGATGCTTTCAACGAAGCGGGTTATAATGTTGAACAAGTGTCTGTGATGATGTTGTATAGATTGGTAGAAAGGGGGAGGCTTTGTCCATAAGCCGGAAAATGGGTTTTACAAATTATCATGCACTTCGCATGTGTGTAATTTTAGACAGAAAAATCAATAGTAACATTTTGTGTATTTTTAGTATTGTCCGATGATATTTCTGAGGCAATGAGAAATGTCAAATGATTCTTCGTTAATATTGTGTTTAAGTGTACTGGGAACGCAATCCGGCACAACACATGGCACAAAACAATTAGCTGGATACTTTAAAAAAAAAAAAACTTTCAACCAATAGTTTTGTGACATTTGGTGTACCGGACTGTGTTTGCGGTACACTGAAAAAATTTCCCCTCTAATACAAACCTCTGTCATAAATACAAACACCAGCAGAAAAAAAGTATGAGCATGATATTTCAGATTTCCATAAACAAATTTACGCTACGTATTTTGTATTGCTGATGATCCGACAATATGAAGTTGCAAGAACATTATTGAAGGCGTTAACCTCTGATCAAAATAATAAAAAAATAAAGACGTTAACGAGTTAGTAACATGAAAATGACGCTAACCACCTGTTTGGACTTGCCTTACAATATCATCTCATGATATCTTCTGTTCATTTTTTTAGATTATCTTCAAACTAATATCACCTCAAAAGATTAATCAAATATATTGGATTTGTTTTCATCGTTTGACTGTTATCGTGAAAATTTTCATTGTTTGTAGGAAAATATTGCGTTCGTCTATTTGTTTTAGTATAGTTAGATTGTTGAATTGAGAGCAGCCTCTCCATAAATGGGGGTAAGGCTAGCCGACATTCACCTCTCCCAGACCCTGCGTAAAGCGGGAACCTTGTGCACTGGGTACGACCTTTTATAGTTAGATTGTTGAAATGATGCAGAGCAGCAGCATAAGAGCAATTATCTCTGCCCAAAGGTGTAAGAAACATGAAGGAAATTTGCAAACAAATTAAATTAAACACGCAGTTTGGCTACATATCAAAGAAAGAATACTGAGGTGCAAGTTGCATCAGACATAGCAGTTGCAACATGCCAACATATATATTCAAACTAAACAGAAACAGTTTCAGACAGGTTACAACAACATCATGACCCAGAAGCCTGGAACATCATGAGCTGATGATGTTCACCAACGACCACCGCCGCCGCCTCCAGGCCCACCACCACCGCCGCCGCCAGGTCCACCACCACCACCGCCGCCACGTCCACCGCCGCCCCATCCCCCACCGCCACCAGGTCCGCCCCCAGGTCCACCGCCGCCCCATCCACCGCCGCCACCAGGTCCACCACCGCCACCAGGTCCACCACCGCCACCAGGTCCTCCGCCGAACATTGGCCCACAGCAGCCCTCAAGCAGGCAGCAGCAGCACAGGAAATAAGCACTGCAGTAGTAGTACACACCAAGATGATATAAGTAAGAAAAAAATTGAAAACAATGATATAAGCAGCTAGCTGATGAAGCTACATTTTGGATAATTTCACGGATAATACTTATATTATCCTGACTAGTCAGACATGATTTTACTCGTAAATAAACAATTTCTGAGTTTTACTAAACTCACCAAGATGATATAAAGTTGCTTAGACCGCCACATAGGAAACCTAAGCAATCTCCTCCCGGTCCTCCTCCTCCCGGCCCTCCTCCTGGTGGCATGTCTCTCTGATGATGATGATGATCTGATCAATCTCTCTCACTCTCTCTTGATCAAAAAAAGCCCTAAGGATATTTCTGCAGCTTCCTTTCTTAATGAACTTGCAATGCAGCTATTGAAGTTTGTCCGCTATATATACATGAAACTCTTGTAGAGAGAGAGCGAGAGAGAGCACGCTTAATGGCTAAGTATATATGCATGAAACTCATGTCGGCTGTATAGTTTCATGTCGGCTGTATAATTAAGTTAACACATATAGAGAGAGAGAGCGACCGAGCGAGCTTAATGGCCGAGAGAGAGAGAGAGACAGAGCTTAATGGCCAAGTATTGCATTCAATATTCTTGATATTTCTCCATCTTTTTGCTGGTAGGTTGTTAGATTGAAAAAGCAATGGGACATTTGTTGTTTCATCTACTCTCGGGCAAGTAACAAACCAAACGTTCATGCATAAACCTAACGTTCAAACCTCCCCTTTTGTCCCCAACAACATAAAAATGAGGGTAATGTTAGAAAGACTAAATTTCTAAATCAAATTTTGTAAACCAAATAATGTAGATGCTAATGATTGGATCATTATTTAAGTGTTGATTAATAGGGATGACAACGGTTCGGTTTGGGGATGGAAATGCTATATCCATCCCCATAACCACGAAAATTAACCATATCCATAACCGCAAATTAACCACCGGTGATTATCCATAACCATATTCACTGGGTAATGGATTTTCAATCGGTTATCGATTATATCCATCTTCGTCAAAAAATTTTAAAAAAAAATTATATTCATCCAATTGATGTACTATAAATTTTAGTAGATACTAATTCCATCATTAAATAGCAACATCCAATTACAAAAAACATAACAATATATTTGAAGCTGTTTATGATAAGCCAATATGATAAATTGGTCCAATAAAAAAAAAGGACAAAACAAATACGGAAGGAAGACAAAACAAATTGATTCAATGAATTAATTTCTTGACAGTGAGACTCTTGAAGAGAGATGAATCTGATAAACTTGGAACATTTGATAATTGATATATAAAATGATTCAATGAATTAATTTGGTTGAGTATAACAATAAGAGCAACTCCAGCGTGGGCTGGTGCTCGGGGGATGGGGGACGAAATAGGGCCAGATAGCCCGGCCTTTAAGCTCCAACGTGGGTAGCTCGAGGGAGAGTGGAGGCTCGAGCTCTGGGCCTGTGAGGAATTGCCAGCCCGAGAGCCCGAGTGGACATGACGTCATCCTGGCGCAACGACGACATTCTGAAGCAACTCCCCAAAACCAATTGTCTTCTTCTTCTTCCTTCTCTTTTGCTGCTGTGTTTCGATGAAAGACGATAACGATGATGAATCACCAATTAAATCACTTGGCTTGCAGAAGACCGAGACTAGGACTGAGCTTTGGGAGAGAGCAATGCACAACTTGTGCAAGTTAACGGCTTCAACGCCGCCATCGTCAGCGTAATTGGGGAACCGGTGAGGTGAGAGGTTGTAGGTGGTGAAGAGGTCTCGAAGGTCGGATGGGTGTACGTGAGATGGGTTTGTGGATATGAAAATTGGGACCATGGCTTGCAGGGGAAATGGCGATTTGGACTTTGATGGCGTTTTTATGGTTTTTTCCATCTGGGTTTTGCCTCTACTGCTCACCCATTTCAACTCCATGCTCTTGACGGACATGGCGGTAACCGCCGTAGCCACCACTGCACTGACCTCCATGCTCTTTCTCTTTGCTTTTATTCTGTGTTGATAGTGGAAGATAATGGGTATACATAATTGTCTTTTCGGGTAATGACATGTCGCGCAATGAGAATGATTAAAAATCTTATCCGAAATTACAATTAAAAAATTATTCTGTATTATTTAAAAAAAAAAATTTATTGCCTATTGCCAGGGTTATTCAAGTGCAACGGTAGAGATGCAAAAGGTAGTTACTATTCATTAAGAGCAAGTCCACCCCTAAGGACTTTGCGCCAGCACCTAGCACATTTATCCACTCAAGTGAACAGTAATAGACTGGAGTGAACAGTAATAGGCCAAGACATCTCCACCCCTAAAAAAATGCACTGGCACCCAACACATTTATTTGGTGTGTTTTTTTTTTAAGTTTATTTCAGATAAGATTTTTAACCAATTTCGGATAAAATTTCAAATAAACTTAAAAAAAAAAATACACACTAAAATAAAATTACATACTCATCAAATAAACTTAAAAAAAAAACACACTAAATAAATGTGGTGTAAGGTGGAAGATGAGGGTTAGGTATTTATAGAAAAAAAATAACTTTTTTAAAATTTTACCGTATTTTTGAATAAAAAAAATTCTGTATTTTTTTATATTTTTAATTAATTTTAATGTAGTTAATTAATTTGGACTGTTGGATTTGAAAAATATTCAAATCCAAGAGCCCAGGATCGGCCACATGGCCATGCACCAGCAAAATGGCCCGACTTCTTGGTCAACCTGTTTTGTGCTAGCCCAGAGACCAACATGGGCTGGGTGCCAGGCTGTTGTGCGGGCTGGAGGACATGGACAAGGTGCTGGGCTACTATTTGGACTGAGTGCTGGGCAAAGTCCACTCCGGTGGACTTGTTCTAAGGGCAGTTACTGTTCACATGATGGATTGAATAGTGAATAGCTGGGGGGAGGGTTCTCACGCTGGAGTTGCTCTAAGAGTATTGAATTGATGAGGTTGTTGGTATGCCCCATGCATGATGTTTGGTGCATAATAAAGATAGTATAGGGTTTGATGCATGCATAATGAATTAGTATAGGGAGGGTTCGGTAAATTGAATAAAATTATATTATATATCACACACATATATATATATATATATATATATATATATATATATATATACACACACAATATATTCGGGTTAGATTCGGGGACAGATATGGATTGGGGACCCTTATAACAATATCCAAAACCATAACCGAATAAAGTTCACAGTTTTTCCCCATATCCATACCATACCCGAATTTTCATATCCAAATCCAATCCATTTGGACGGTTATCCACGATTATCGGGTTTAACGGTTAGAATTGTGATCCCTATTGATTAACGTGCTTATTTCTTATCAGTAACTGTTGACCCTAAAAACTACCAAGCCTACGTGGCGCGCAGACCGATTAATTAATAAGCTAACTACGTCATTCGATTGTGTGCGGGGCATGCCAACTCATCGGCCGAGCTCGGCCAGGGAGTAAAATGTGTTGATTTTGTGTTGAGCGCGCTACTGATTTCTTGATCTTGCGACTGCGGCCGAGGAAGGAACACATCTCGGCCTTTGGGTTCTAAAGCCTAAAGACAAGGCTGCTAGTTTTGCAAAGTTCAATATCAGATTCAGCTTTCAATGTGCCGAATGTAGTAATCTGGTAACACCTCGCTTCGCCGATAAGGCTGATGAGATGACCTCTACCAACAAGGATTCGAAAATCCTTGTTGACTGAGACTTGGATAGGTTATCAGTCGGCCGGGAAGCAGTGAGGTTTATCCAAACTGAAGGTGCTCCTTGATCGGCTTATTCTACAGCTCCAGTGTTGTTTATCCAAACTAAAGATGTGTTGGCGAGAGAAAAAGAAAATAAAGATCTCAAGGTTGTTGAGAGGTTTCGCATAGAGCGAGAGTTTGCGCATGGTAGTTTTGTGTGTTGAATTGGAGAGGCTTTGAATGATGCACTCCCTTCTCTATTTATAGAACTAACTTAGCACAAAATCTAGCCGTGGCCATCAATCACCACAAATAATAATCGTTATGCGTAGATGATTATCCAATGAAAGTCGTGGCACTCAGCGTCTTTGGTGCTAACCATGCATTTCAACCAAAACCACGTAACAAATCATGGCATGCCAATTCCATCTTTGCTAAAGATAAGCATTGTCGTTCAAACTTCATTTCCAAAGCCCTGGCATATCAGGCTTTATCCACTTCATTTGGCAACCTCGAGTTTGCTGATAATTATCCCATGCATGCATCGCATTGGCTTACTTCACGTAATTAATCTTTCAAGTTGGACTCCACCTTGGTTACCAACTTATGCCACCATGTGCTAGGACTTTTCTCATAATGCATGATGCTCAATCCCCGGGTTGAATGCTAAGAATCCCGAATTAAATTGAAATGTTCTGTTTGCTTCGATATAGTTTGCTTCACATTTATCTCGTATAAAAAAAATGTTAAGATAATTCATTATTAAAAGATAATTATCATGATTAAAAATCATAATATTATCCCTTAACAACAACAAAATTATCTTAACTTTCCTATCCGCATGTGTGGAGCTATGCTCACTCATCAGTCTTGATTGCACTGGCCGATTGTGTAATTTTAGATCCAAACAATAACACATCATTTGATCTACAAATTTAACGCCTTAACATTATCCTAAAAATAAATGCAAAATAGAAATGGGTTATCGTGGCACCAGAGCAAAAAGTTCATAATGTATATGTATTGACTTTTTAACTTTTTTTAACACAGATGTCTTATACGTGGACCGACCATTTCTTTTTTTATATATTGTTGCGGTTTTGCAGTTTAAAAAAAAAAACACTAGATTAAGCTATTTCGTAAGTTTTTTTTAGTCAGTGTTATGATATGCATGACACGTACCTACACGATTTAAACTTAATAATTAGTACTAATCTCTAGCATTAGCCACTAGAGCTATGTACATAGCGTATGTATTATATTTCATTGTTTGATGAGGTGTGATTGAATATAGTATGCACAACTAAAATTGAAGGGTCATATATATATATATATATATATATATATATATTTTTTTTTTTTTAAATCTAATCCTTAGCCCTTGTTTTATATAAATACTAAAGCCCAAACTAAAAATCTATACAAAAATTCTCAAGCCCAAAAGTCAAACCTTTGGTAGTTACCTCACCTCATCCATTCAACTAGTTCACATTCAAATTTTCATCCCTCTCCTCTTTTCTTTTCCTCATTTATCTTCATGCATTATTTACACTTTAATTTCATTTTAGAGTGTACACTTTGGTCTTGATTTGAAGTTTTCCACCTTTTAATTTATATTAATATGTAAATTTTCTATCTTCCGGTCCCAAATCTTGTAGATCTATTAACTAACATGTTGGAGTTGGCTTTTTTTTACTTTTTTATTAATATGCCAAAAAACCTCATTTAGTTAGGATGTTGGAGATGCTCACGAGAAGATCGATATAATTTAATTTTTACTATAGTATTTCACTTATGGAGTATGTAGTCATGTCCTGCCTCGAAAACAAACACTTGGTTCCGACCATTTCATCACAACCCTAATTTATGAAAAGTTTAACCATTGTGTAAATGCAAGACCCAGCAGATCATATGATGGAATGATATAACAGTAGGTCACGGGCATGCATGAGTACTTTTTTTTTCAGTGTGTGGAAGCCTGGAAGGACACCAAGCTGGATCAAAACAAAGAGTTCTTTCCCTCCTCGTGTGCCAATTTCAATATGTACATGAATCCACAGCTGGATCAAAACAAAGAGTTCTTTCCCTCCTCGTGTGCCAATTTCATTATGTACATGAATCCACTATTGCTTGGTCTTTGCTTTGTCACTTAAGGTCACAAATATCAATTGCATCACGTAGGACAATCAAGTAGGGGAAATATTAGGTAATTTTAGATGTCCTAACCCTCAAACTATATTCTTAGTTCAGATTATTATTAATGAGTTCGACCGTATAGAAATATTAGCATGTCAACTGTATACTTAAAAGCGTTTATATATATATAATGAACACTATATTCAGCATATGATGCATTTCAATGGTCCAAACATTGCACATGTACCTCCATTTTGATTTCACACCTGTGTGGAACATATTAAAAGACAGTTTCTATGCCAAATTAATTATATGATTCACATAATAAAAAAGTACCGTACAAAATGTAAGAAAATAAACCTTCAAGAATGAATTGCTTCCTTTTAGTCATCAATTGGATATAAAAATATTGGAAAGGTACAAAATTGGTAGATATTTCTTCACATCATACTTTGATAGAAGAATAATATAGTGATGAGGTTCCTTTTGTTGGCTTGCATTTACATGTCATATGCAATATAGAAACAAATTTGACATGTCTGTTGGTCGCAAAGTTTCGTTGGTTTTATTCTAGTACAAACAAAGAAAAAGAAAAAGTTAAACTCGGTTTTCATCATAGGTCATGCATATGTAGAGAGTATGACAATTGAGTTAAAAAAATATATAGGAAACATGATGTTTTGATGAACAGATGCCTCAATAGACTAAGAAATAACTATTTACATGAAGTTCATCATCTTTGATGAAATTTTATTTGAACATGTCAATATATTTTGAAACAACCAAGTTATACTAGAAGGGGAAGAAAAAGTTTGTCACACCATTGGCCATTGTCTACATAAAAGTCTTTATTACTGTATCAAGACATATATGTAAGTTTATACATAATATATACACACACACACATATATATATGTGATGTACTTGTAGCATATATCCATGAATTAGACCAATTAGTTAAAGTAGTGTACTTAGTCTTTACACTTGAGTTTGAATTCCCTCCTCCTAGTAAATTAAAGTAATAGTTTAGACGTTGCTTTATGAAAAATAATATGTTTGTAAACAACTAATTATGTGTGAATTAGAATAACATTGTTCATATAATAATAATTATTGATTATATGTAAATAAGGAAGTTTACCAAAGAT